ACCTTCATGCATTCTTTGCATGAAGGTAATAAACCTTCAGTGTGCAGCTTCCCCCTCAGCCCCCCCTTACCTGAGCCCGATTTCGATCCAGCAATGTGCATGGGGGCACCAGCTCTCTCAGATTTCCCCCTTCTCATTGGCTGAGACACAGTAGTGGGAGCTATTGGCGCCTGATGCTGTCAACCACAGCCAGTGAGGAGGGAGAGGGGGAGGGGCTGAATTGCGCTCTGTGTGTCTATGCGGCGGTTTGGGAGCAAGCAGGCACGAGTGCCTGGGGGCACTCAGCAGGAGAAGCCAGGAGCCCTGGCGGGGTACCTGAGAAGAGAAGGATCGGGCTGCTCTGTGCAAAACCGTTGCACAGAGCAAGTAATTATAACGTTTGTTTTTTAAAAAAGATGTGAACTTTTCAAATCGCTTTAACTTATTTTTGCTAGCCTTTTTTTGCTGTTGCATTTTATATCATTTATATTTTAATGTAGGGTAGTTAGGGTCAATTAAAGCCCATCTTTGAGCAAACATTTACACCCTTACCATTACCCATTTAATACAGAGTGTTACATTTCGTTGTGTCTTTTTTTTTTTCATTTTTAGGTTTTACCTGCTAGTAAGTCTCTGTATCCATTGTTGGATGTTGCTGCCATTCAGTCATCATTGATACATATTTTCAAAGTTGTTGAATGTAGTCTAAAATTTCTGCTATTTTTCCATTTTTTATAAAGATTTACCAAATCTTCCACATGTGACTCTTTTTCTACCATTTATCCTGTCATGTGTCCTGTTGAAGTTATTTTTTCCAAATGGGTATGAGTAAGAGCTTGACCAGCTGAACATTAGCACTTGTGGCCTAGCAGACATACACATGCACATTTTTACTGACTGCCATCCCTGGACTGCTAATGTAACAGGTGGATTTCCTTCAGTCCATGAATCATGAGATACTAGCCTGTTTCACATAATGGGGTTGATTTACTAAAGACAAGAAGTTTGTTCACTTTGCAAGGGAACTTATGCTGTACATGCGAATTTTCCCAAAGCTTGCAGGATGTGATGAAATGTCCCTCAATAAGAATACCAAATCATGTGCAAGGAAAAGAAAACAAGAACATTTTTGCTTGCACAGGATTGGATGATGTTAGTTAGCAGGGTTTCAGCTCATTCACTAAGTTCTGGGGAACATTTCCATTAAAAGTGCGACTTCACTTTCAAAATACCACATCCCTTGAAACCTGAACAGTCTTCTTGCACTTAATTAACCCCTTCCAGCTGCCGCCTCCCAGCCCTTTAAGAGTTTCAGACGCCAGGAGGCGGGGCAGGTGGGGCGTGGTTTAGGGATCATGTGACCGCCGTGACGTGTCGTCACGGCGGGCACATGATCAGGAAAGGTCCCGATCGAAAGAGCAGACCGGGACCTTTACGTGAGTACCGGACATGTGTGCTGGAAGCGGGCAGGGCGCGCGCTCTCAGCACATGTTTTTTCTTACATAAACGCAAATGTGCGGCCACTCAGTGTCTAGGCCCAGACGCCGGGAGGCCGCACATTTTTGTGTGGCCGGCGTAAAGGGGTTAATCAAACCCACTGCCTCCCTTCAACACACACGCCTCATACGTACTCCTCACCCTTGCACTCTTTGCTTTATACACTCCTGGCCCCTGCATCCTTTATGTTACCCACTCCTGACCCCTGCACTGTATTCACTGTGCTGTGTATTGCAATCTCCTAACTACTACACTCTTTCTATTGCAAAAGAGTTGCTGGCTGCTAAGTAGTAACTAACTTATATCTATAAAGTTTTTTCTTCAAGTAGAATGTGTGCAGAAAAGCATAGGTAATGGAAGAGTTTTTTACTTTTGAATATATTTATAAACGATATAGGGGCTGGGATTACAAATCCTATTTCAGACTTTGCAGATGACACCAAGCTGTGCAGTGGAATAATGTCCTTACAGGATGTCTCCAACTTACAAGCCGACCTCAATGCACTGTTTATTTGGGCAACTATGTGGCAAATGAGGTTTAATGTTGATAAATGTAAGGTTATGCACTTGGGGGCTAAGAATATGCATGCATCATACATACTGGGGGGGGTACAACTGGACATACTAAGGGGGGGTACAACTGGGGGAATCAATGGTGGAGAAGGATCTAGGAGTTCTGGTAGATCACAAGCTTAATAATGGCATGCAATGCCAAGCTGCAGTTTTTAAAGCAAGCAAAATCCTATCTTGTATTAATACACCAGAGAGAGATATTATTTCGCCCAGTACAAATCATTAGTAATGCCTCATCTGGAATATGCAGTTCAGTTTTGGGCACCAATTCACAAAAAGAACATTGGGGAACTGGAGAAAGTGCAGAGAAAGGTAACCAAACTAATACGAAGAGGAGATTAAGGGGGGATATGATCAACATGTATAAATACATCAGTGGTTCATATAGTGAACTCGGTATAGAGTTATTCACCCTGAGGTCATCACAGAGGATAAGGGGGCACCCTTTACGCCTGGAGGAAAATAAATTTAATCTCCAAACACGGAAAGGTTTCTTCACAGTAAGAGCTGTGAAAATGTGGAATAGACTACCTCAAGAGTTGGTTCTGACCAGCTCAGTAGATTGCGTTAAAAAAAGTCCTGGATTCTTTCCTAGATACACAGAATATAACTGGATACTAACATTTATAGGTAAAGTTGATCCAGGGAACATCCGATTGCCTCTCGGGGGATCAAGAAGGATTTTTTTCCCCTGCAGGAGCAAACTGTATCATGCTTTGCTGGGTTTTTGTGCCTTCCTCTGAATCAACTGTGGGTATAGGATTAGAACTTTTTTTTATGGTTGAACTGGATGGACTTTTGTCTTTATTCAGCCAGACTAACTATGTATCTGTGTAAAATGATTGTATGGAGATTTATACATTTTTTAGAGACTTCCCCTTGTGGCACAATATCTATTCACACAATTATTGTATGAAACTTCTCAATTCCTTTAGTAAATCAGCCTCACTTGCTCATATAATTTAAACACAATATACAATGAAGTAAGTGATGTATTTTGGTTCTGCTGCTAAAGAAAGTTTACACAAAGTGGATCAGGACAGGGTGACCTTACTCAAAGGATGACCCAGGTTAATAGACAACCAATTTTGAAGCTCATTTTTATTTTACCAATATAAGTGCAAATATTGTGTAATGCTAAAATCAAGTATAAATATTCCATCAAAAAACCCAAAACACACCTCGTTCTTGGATGAGCTAAAGCTGTGAATCAGGTGAGTTTAAAATTATGTTTTTAAGTGGAGAGATAGATTAGAATTTCAAGGACTACACAAGGATCTGCCATGTTCATTGAATGCTTCTAGCCAGCATTGGGTTAGTGTGTATGTATAGGCAAAACATGTATTTTTTTTCATTTGGATAGAGGAAGGAAAGATTAAAACTCCTGTCAAGTCTGTATTGTTGTCAGTGCAGATTCATCTTCACTCTTTGTCCTAATGACCATTTTAATAGGCACAAAAAAATGAAGGGAAATCTAAAGTTTGGACAGTAGTCACCAAAACAACAGCTGAACAGTTCCAATGGGGACATCTGTTATGGTGACTGCTATCTAATAGAAGATTTCTCCTTACTTTGTAAAGATATGCTCTCACATCCTCATGCATCAATGGGACAGGGAACAAAGGGAAATCTCAAGTGGACAAAGGTAGCAAAAAACAAAATGGACAAGGGTCCTTACCCATGCCTATTCTATTCAAAACCGAACAAAACGTTTGTGGCTGTACAGTTTAACATAATTCTAGAAAGGCATAATTTTAGAAAGTCGTGCATACCCTAGCAGGGTGGCCATATATTTTCTTATGCAGCTGTACAAAGGAACTCTGAGACATAAGGGGCCATTTATACTACATGTGGGTCAAACAGGTGCTGAGACCCTTTCTATCTGTTATCTAGGTCAAGCAGGAGCCTTTCTTCATGGTGATAACTGTTTCACTGTTTTCTAATATCCAAGCGCTGTTAGGCTCACTAAAAAATGTAGAATAAAAGCTCACCTATTTCCATGTATCTCTCTCTCATGGTTGGAAAAGCAAGGTGTCACTCCCCCGCTGATGAAATCGCTGAAGAATGTAAGTCACCAATGAGATTCCCCGCTCACCCAGCAGGCTAGACAGTAAAGCTGGCCATACACTAATAGCTGCAGTGGCTGTATTTGATTTTTAATCAAGAGATATTGGGCAGAAAGCAGCCGCCAAATGAGCAGATTTCAGGAGGTTTCCTGGGAACTGAAATGTTTCAGTGTATGGCCAGTTTAACACATAGAAGTGTGTATTTTACTTCCTTGTTTAAGTGGTTCCTGCCTTGCCTATTGTACAATGACAACCAGGCAGGACCGCTCTTGTTCTGGGAGGACATCATATGACATCCTCCCATTCTCGCCAGGCATGCTTGACCCTGGGGGCATTCAGCGCCGTGATTGGTAGTGAGCTGGGACTCTTAGAGAGCGCATCACAGATCAGGGTCAAGAGCCTATGATGTTGGCTCTTTACCAAATGATCAGCTGTGTCCAATCACAGCTGATGACATGTAAACAAATACCGGTTATCTGCATTACTTTTCTTCAGCACTGTCACAGCATGAGGAAAAGAAAGCCAATAATCGGCTTTCCTGTGACGGAGATATGTACACTGATAAACAGGGGAATAATGAATGAACAAAAACCCAGTGTTAATTAACCACTTGCCTACAGGGCACTTATACCCCCCTCCTGCCCAGGCCAATTTTCAGCTTTCAGTGCTGTCGCATTTTGAATGACAATTGTGCGGTCATGCAACACTGTACCCATATGAAATTTTTATAATTTGTTTGAGACAGATAGAGCTTTCTTTTGGTGGTATTTAATTACCTCGGGGTTTATTATTTTTTGGCTAAACAAACCAAAAACAACTAAAGATTAAAAAAAAAGTTTTTCTTAGTTTTCTGTTATAAAATTTTATAAATAAGTGATTTTTCTCCTTCATTGATGTGCGCTAATGAGGCTGCAGTGATGGGCACTGATGAGGAGGCACTGGTAGGTGGCACTGATGGGTATTGACAGGCATCACTGATGGGCACTGAAAGGCAGCACTCATATATTGCACTGATAGGTGGCACTGACTGGCACTGTTAGGTGGCACTGACGGGCACTGATAGGCTGCACTGACTGGCACTGATAGGTGGCACTGGTTGGCAGTACTGACTGGAACTGATAAGTGGCACTGAAAGGCAGCTCAGATGGGCACTGATATGTGACATTGATGTGGCACTAACAGGTGGAATTGATGGACATTGACAGGTGGCACTGATAGGGCTACACTGATCATCAAGGCACACTGATCATCAGTGCTCTGATGATCAGTGTACATGTCCCCTCTGAGTAATGTGGATTACCGGCTCTCCTCTCCTCACGAGCTGTCAGCGTGACAGCTCGTGAGGAGAGGAATGCCAATAACCAGCATTTCCTTATTTACATGCGATCAGCTGTGATTGGACACAGCTGATCACATGACAGAGCCAACCTCTTCAGCTCTTTCCGTTGATTGGTGATCCGCTGTGTCCCAGAGCTGAAGGAGGTCATATGACGTCCTCCCAGAATGAGAGAACCGCCTTGCACCCATCATTTCCTTATATGGCAGGCGGGAGGTGGTTAAATACCATCAAATGAAAGCTCTGTCTAAAAAAATTAAAAAAAAAAAATGTAATTTGGGTACAGTGTTGCATGACCGTGCAATATTCATTCAAAGTGCGACAGCACTGAAAGCTAAAAATTGGCCTACACAGGAAGTGGGTGAAAGTGTCCGGTATTGAAGTGGTTAAAGTTGCATAGCAATACTGTCACTAACCAGTTACTGCCAGTGACAGAAATTGAGTGATAATATTACTTGTGAGCTAATATGGTGAAATTCAATAGTGATATAAATAATAAAAAAAAATGATATATAAAAATACACCTATGTCACTAGCTCCTTACACCAACTCATAAATAGTGCTAACATACAAAATAAAATAATAGTGCTGCGCTCCTGTGCTATTAGTAATGTTTACTCATAATATGATGTGATATATCTTAAAAGAATAAATAAATGAAATAAACCATTCGTCTGTGACTTATATCTGTGATCAAACTATAAACTTTTTCATACCATCACTAGTGAAAAACATAATATAGTGACCAAATCAAAAATAATATATAATTGCCTCAATGCAATCCAATTAAATAAACACTAAAAATTGTCCGGATTATGTGAACAATCCTCCTGATATATGAAAAAACTTGTGCCTCCAAATGGATGAAACAACGGTGAGTATTAATTTATTATGCGCTCACCTCCTTTATAGCGTAATGTGAATTTAGGCTGAAAATCGCTTATTGTCCTAAAAGGACGGATGAAACTGCTCCTGCTCCAGATCTCCTACTCGGATGGTTCTACGTTGCAGTATAAAAATAATCCACCTGGTGTCTCTCCAAAGTGCTGCTCCCTATGATGGGTATGGATGGATGGATTCCTCGCTCTCACCTCCAGGGGTCTTTTGGTGTTTATTTAATTGGATTGCATTGAGGCAATTATATATATTTTTAGTGTTTATTTTTAGTGTTTATTTTTAATAATGGATTGCATTGAGGCAATTATATATTATTTTTGATTTGGTCACCATATTATGTTTTTCACTAGTGATGGTATGAAAAAGTTTATAGTTTGATCACGGATATAAGTCACAGACGAATGGTTTATTTAATTTATTTATTCTTTTAAGATATATCACATCATATTATGAGTAAACATTACTAATAGCACGGGAGCAGCACTATTATTTTATTTTTTACTGCCAGTGACAGGATCACTACTGTGACATGGCCTTTAGATGGCAAACACCTTGTGGAGAGGTGGGTATTAGTTCGTTAGATACTTTACACAAACACAGTCGCTTTTCTTTAAATTAACAAACTGACGGTATCTCATTAATCTCCCCCCCCCCCCCCTTATGCTCACTGAGATTTGCAGAATAATTCTCCCATCTGAGTTTCAGCTCAGAAACCACAGAAACTGTAACCTGTCTGGCTGTTCAGTGTGGCAGATGTGCTAAATTAGTAAACATGTGTGTTTTCAAATGTGTATTTAACTGTCTGCTTGTAGTATTATTGGTAAAGCCAAAGTGAACCTGTTAAGGCAGAGAACAAAATGGGGAAAAGTGATTACTATGGCTAGACATGCATTGGGCTCCATTCACAAAGCGGTATTTTCCTCTTTACAATTTGCAGTAAAATTTCTTATAGCGTTTTTTTTTTTCAAAAAGGTTTTTTGGCATTCACAAAAAAAGCCACTAAAATAAGGCATGTGGTATTTCATTGAAATAGGCAGTATTTATCTTATGAAACCATGCGGTATTATATCTTATGCGATATCCAACGGGGCGGATTCAGTTGAGGAGAACTAGAAACCCTGTCAGATTGTATTACTAATAAAGAGGTAAAATGGTTTAAACCATTGAATACTTCAATTTGCTAAGTCAGTGCGTTCCCTGCAGCAGATGTATTAATACAAAAGAAAAAAGTGACTAGAATACCAGTCAAAGGGAAGCTGCTTTCTCCGGACACCTGTGGTGTATCAACAACTACGTTAAATTAGGTACATACAAAATATCTTTATAAATGTCAAATGAATGAAAATAGTATCAAAAATCACACACATAAATAAATACCCTTCTTCTACAACAATGTCTAATTGGTGGAAGAAGGGTATTTATATACGTGTGTGATTTGTTATACCATTTTATTTCTTTCAATATTTGACATTTAGAAAGATATTTTTGTATTTACTTAAAGTATAACTAAAGGAAAAACTCTTTTTTTTTAGTTTTGGATAGAGTGGAGAGGGATTAGGACACCTATTAGGTTTTTATTGCTATCTGTTCCACCATTAAGGAGATTCACCCCCTCTATTTGACCTGATCACCATTATCATTGAAAGTGAAAAGAAAATCCTAAACTTTGATTTGTCCCCAGAAAAATAATAGAGGGGAAATCTTCCACTGGGGACACAGATGGCAAAAAATTATTTTCAAAAATGACAGGGGTTATAACCCTCCCTCGGCTCCTGTCTAATATGGCCCTAGTATGTGTATGTATGAATGTGAGTTAGGGACCTTAGATTGTAAGCTTCTTGAGGGCAGGGACTGATGGGAATGTACATTATATAAATAAATATATATAAAGCACTATGTAAATTTATGGCACTACATAAGTACCTGAAATAAATAAACAAGTCACATTTTTTTGTATTGCACAAGGATTGCTTGTGTTCATTGAACGCTTCCAGCCAACAATTAGTTAACCACTTGCCAACCGGGCTATAGCCAAATGACGGCTACAGCATGGTTGTCCAGTTCTGGAGGGTGTCATATGACATCCTCCCAGAATATGTACTCTCGTGCACCCCCGGGGGCATACATCCAGTGATTTCAATTATCACTGTGTCCTACGGACACAGCTGATCACGTGCTGTAGTAAAAAGCCAATCACAGCGGCCTTTTACCACGTGATCAGCTGTGTCCAATGACACAGCAAATCATCGGTAAATGTAGTTGCTGGTTATCGGCTGCACTTTTCTCATGCTGTTACAGCATGAGGAAAGCACTGCCGATAACCGGCAATTGTCAGAGAACGGATTGGCACCGATCATCAGTGCCCTGATGATCAGTGCAATCCACCAGTGCCACCCACCTGTGCCCAGCAATGCCGGCCACAAGTGCACAGCAGTGCCAGCCACCTGTGCCCATCAGTGCCTAGTAGTACCACTCACCTGTGCCCAGCAGTGCCACCCACCAATTCCCAGCAGTGCCCCCCATCAGTGCAGCCCAGCAGTGCCAGGCATCAGTGCCCATCAGTGCTGCCAGCCAGTGCTGTCAATCAGTGTCATCCATCAGTGCTGCCTCATCAGTGCCAGTTCATCAGTGCCCCCTATCAGTGCCCATCAGTGCTGCCTATGAATGCAACCTCATCAGTGCACATCAGTGAACGAGAAAAATTACCTGTTTGCAAAATTTTATAATAGAAACAAAGAAAACCTTTTTTCTTTCAAATTTTTTGCTTTTTTTTTGTTTATAGCACAAACAATAAAACACCCAGTGGAAATTAAATACCACCAAAAGACTGCTCTATGTGTGAAAAAAATGCTAAAAATTTCATTTGAGTACAGTTTTGCATGACTGCGCAATTGTCATTCAAAGTGTGACAGCACTGAAAGCTGAAAATTGGCCTGGGCAGGAAGAGGGTATAAGTGCCCAGTAAGCAAGTGGTTAATGTGTATGCATAGACAAGATTCCTTTATTTTAGTTTGGATAGAGGAGGGAAGCATTAGAACCCTGTCAAGTTTCTATTCCTGTCTAAGCAGATTCACCTTCACTATTTGTCCTGAAGGCTGTTTTCATAGCAACAGAAAATGATGAAAAATCTCAAATTGTTCCACTGTCACCAGAATAAGGAGACAACTATCTAATACAGGGTTTCTTAACCAGGAATCCTCTAGGAGTTACCAGGAGTTCCTTGAGCAAAGAGCAGTTTCTGCCTGTCAGATAAGTTCCCGTTGACACCACTGATCTCTTTAGCTATCTATAAGGGGCTAATTCTGCCCAATGTCCACAAATGTAAGGAGCATTCTTCCCATTGACCATCACACTAATGTATCATGAGTTATAGATATCGTCATTTTTACCAGGGGTTCTCTGAGACCGGAAAGTTATTTCAAGGGTTCCTCTGTGTTGAAAAAGGTTGAGAAAGGCTGGTCTTATAGGTGTACGAACATTTCTTACTTTTCCTTTAATTGCTGGAGTTTTTTTTTTTCATTACACACATGCAAAAATGTGCATTTGTGGTTTGAAGAATACCACCAAAAGAATATATATTTGCTAACAGCAGAGAAGCTGTAGAATAAAAAGGTGGTAGTTGCAAATGTTTTGTCACACATTATTTATACAACCTTTTTCTCAAACCTATATTTTCCATTAAAAATACATTAAATTTATTTTAGTGCAAACATAAAAAATATACTCATTTTTTTGAGGGAAATTATAAAAAGTGTGATTATGTCTACTAAATGGATACTGTGAAATTGCCACAGTCTACAGCAGCAATGGGCAAACTACGGCCCGCGGGCCGTATACGGCCCGGCGGACCTTTTAATCCGGCCCGCGGAGCGTGATACTGTCAGGATGGCTGTCAGGATGTGTGTAGGCGGGGCAGCGTGACGAACGTGAGGGGAGCTAGGCTCCTCTCACAGTCCGCCCTGAAGACCGGAACGGCGTGGGAACACGGCGAGAGGAACGCGCGGAGCAAAGGTAAGTAAATTGACACAGGGGGGACTTGGCTTACTACTTGGGGGGAATAGTACTATGGGGGATGAAATACTATATGAGGGATGAATTAATATGGGGGATGAATTAATATGGGGAATGAATTACTATAGGGGGGATGAATTACTATAGGGGGGATGAATTACTATGGGGGATGAATTACTATATGGGGGATGAATTACTATATGGGGGATTAATTACTATGGGGGATGAATTACTATATGGGGGATGAATTACTATATGGGGGATTAATTACTATGGGGGATGAATTACTATATGGGGGATTAATTACTATGGGGGATGAATTACTATGGGGGATGAATTACTATGGGGGATGAATTACTATATGGGGGATGAATTACTATGGGGGATGAATTACTATGGGGGATGAATTACTATATCTACTCTTGGTCCGGCCCCCGGGGTCCAATATATGAACCCATTGCGGCCCTCAAGTCAAAAAGTTTGCCCACCCCTGGTCTACAGCATTCAAAATTTTACAAATGCAATGCTTTAAAATTAGACTTTCAAATGGTTTGTTATTTTAAAGTGGTAGCAAACTGCATAAAAAAATTAAAAAACATTTGCTGCAAGGCAATGGCTTAATGCGCTAGTATGCATTGCATACTAGCACATTATGTAGAACTTACTTTAAAACTAAGCCCTCCAGCAGCGCTCGGTCACCACTGTAACATCCTCCATGTTCACCTGGTCTTCCTTACGAGTTCACAAGCTCCTGCCATCTGACTGGCTGAAGCGGGATGATGTCAATCCCGTGCATGCACACGGGAGTCATGGGCCATAGCACAGTGCCCTGAAGGAACAACACGTGTATGCCGTTCCTTCAGAGCACATGCGCCAGCTAAAACAATTCCTGAATATCTCCTAAGCAGTGCACATTTAGGAGATATTCATTTACCCACAGGTGAGCTTTATTATAAACTTACCTGTAGGTACAAATTAACCACCTCCCATCCGGCCGTTGTATATAAACGGCCGGACGGTGGCACTGTAGGGTTGGGTGGCCGTTTATAAATGGCCTCCCCGCACCCTACTTGTGCGCACTCCCTGGGAGCGCGCAGCACCGCAATCCGGTGCCCGCTGTGTCCTCCGGACACAGTGAAACACCGATCATTGGACGGGACCTTCGTAAGAGGTCCCGAACATGTGATCACTGATTGGCCACTTGTGACATCATTGCTTACGTGTGAAATCTGTGAATGATCACAGAGGTCACATGGTACAAGGCTATTCACAACAGCCTTGTACCATGTGACAAGCTGTGACCAATCACAGCTCACTCAGTAGTTCTCAATGGCTGCAAGAATGCAGACAGAGAGAAAGAGAAATGATTGATTTTACATCCTATATTGGTATAAAAGCAATCAGTGTAAAAAAAAAAAAAAAAAAAATCTTCATTCTCCCCACAAGTAGTATAGCGTCACCATGGTGACCATGGTGACACTGTACTGCTAGGGTGACAGTATGTAAAAAAAAAAAAAAAAACATAAATAATATAAAAAAAATAAAATAAAAATGTAAAAAAAATGTTTAAAAATTATAATTTTTGGTTATAAACTAATTTGGCTTATTTATTTTTTTTTACTAAAAAGATAACGAAATACATTTTGGCCAAGATTTATGATGAAATATTATTTATTTGCAAAATTTATAAGAAAAACACTTTTTTTCTAAATTTTTGGACGTTTTCATTTACATAGCAAAAAATATAAAAATTCTAGTGGTTAATAAATACCACCAAAATAAAGCTTTATCTGTCTCAAAAAAATGGTAAAACATTCATATGGGTACAGTGTTGCATGACCACACAATTTTCATTCAAAGTGTGATAGCGCTGAAAGCTGAAAATTGCCCTGGACAGGAAGGTGGTAAAAGATACCGACCAGGAAGTGGTTAACAAAGTAGGTTTACTACCACTTTAACTAAGTATTAGTGTAGTTATATTTCTTGTGTCATTTGTTTATCTTACCATGTAATGCTGGGCTCACATGCTGTAGCTACTGTTTTTAGTGCCATGGCTGATCTAGTCTTTCTTGTCCATGTATTAATTCACCTAGCTTGTCCCTATTCACCAAAGTAACAAGACAGCTTCCTGTTCCATGTCACACAACAGCCAATCAATACCTTGACATTTCCTCTGTGTTGCACCACAAATGTGGGTGTGCTAATGCAATGAAAACACATCTCTTACCTGCATTGCTCTGCCTGCTTGTGCCTATTTCAGGCCTAATTACTAGTTTTCACCTACAGAACTCTAGACTGAGAGACCCAGGGATTGTGGGATATATAGTTTCTTCACAGAAAGTGTCAATTCCTAGACTACAGACAGAGATCATGCATTAACCTGTGCACTGCTATGCCATATGCCACATGTTTGAGCACAAATAGAACTTGCTAACAAAGGAATGTAAAGATTTATTCTAGTATAGCTGTGTGCAACAAATGACACCATGAAACTTCATAATCAATGCACAGCTTATGTTGTGAAAAACACAAGGTGCAGGTAGAAAGGTTTATAATACCTTTAACCACTTCCTACCCATAGGACGCAATATGATGTCCTCGGGGTTGAAGTGGTTATACTGGGATGATTCCTACAGCTGCAGGCATCATCCCGGAAACAAAAATTCAGCCGGCAATTACTTTCAACATAGACATTTTTGTGGTAATATAGAGCCAGTTGGTCACATCTATAGGCAGCAGAAGAGGGCCCCATTGGGGAACCCCAGGACCGCTCTGAAAAGGAGCATCTAGTGCACTGCACAGAGAGAAAGGAACTGACATTCTTTCTCCCTCTCTGTGAAATCAGACGTGATGAGGATTTGCTCAGTATGATGTAAACTAGATCTCAGATCTGATTAAACCGATCTCAGTTTGATCTAATGCTTTGGAGGCCAGAATAGAGAGGGAGGCCATAAAGAGCACCTGTCACAGCCCATGCTATATAACAAGGGATGGTATTCATCCCTTGTGATAGCGATAAAGTTGTTTTTTAAAAAAAAAAAAAAAGCAACAGTGTTAGATAAGTAAATCTCATCCATGTAAACTAATACATTCTGCTGGAGAGCTTGTGCTTTTGCAAAACAACAGACTTGCACTCCACTCACATGCTGTAGTGTGCCGCTGCAAATTCCCTCCCCCTTTCCTGTCCTATGCACACTGCTGGTGGAAAGATCTGGGTTCGGATCTCTCAGTGTTCTGCTGCCATCGCCTTGACCAAGGAGGAGAATGCAGGGTGTTCCATGAGTTTGAGCTGAAAAAGACCCTGGGTGAAAGCTAAAAGAGGATATGCTGGGATACTTCCATCTGTCCATCCATCTGTATTGGATCGCATGCCATTTTAGCTGAAACTGGTTGTTTTTTGGGCAACTGTAGCTGGTGAATATATGTCCATAAGGTGGTGCATAGCTGCACTCTACTCAAGTCACAGGGGTGGAAAAAAGAATATAAGAAGTTTGAAGTTTGTGAACCAGGAATTACAGATCATGTGGACTGGAGTTCATTAATGGACACTGTCCAAACTGGTAGGTGGTACACTTCCTTGTCATAGGTGGTCAAACATGTTTTTTTATCTTATTTTATTTTGTGTATTTATGTATGTATATATATATAGAGAGAGAGAGAGAGAGAATCTTATTTTGTATATGGATATTTTTTCCCCCCAGATTAGCGCTTTATTGAATAAGGCTATAAGGGTTGGACTTATACTTATTATCAGGCTTGTTGGCCGGATCACCAGATAAAAATAGAAGAAAGAAAGCCTACCAAAGGAAACTAATACAGCCATCACATCTAAGAATTGGTAAGCTGCCTAACATTTACATAATAAATGTTTACTTTTAGTTTTTATTACTTCTTTAAAGCAGACTCATGGCTACTCTTATCACTGACACAGAGGGGGGCACTTTTCATCCCACTGACACCACCAAAGGAGCAATTCTTCATCGAACAGTCACCAAAAGCACTTTTTATCCCACCAGTGAGAGGGAAACATTCCATTCCACTCACACCAACAAGTGGCACACTCCTCATCTCACTGACCCAATTTAGGGGGCACTTCAAATTCCACTGACACCAATGAAGGGGACACTCTTTATCCCACTCACACCAGTGAGGAGACACTCCTAACCCCACTGACACTAGCAAGGGGGCCCTCAAACAATTGAGGGAGAGCTCTTCAACCTACCCACACCAACAACAGGGATACTTTTTGTCCTACTCACACCAACAAGAGGGACACTCCTCATCCCACTGACATTAATGAAGGGGCATTCTTCTTACCATTCACACCAATAATGGGGTAACCTTCTTTCCATTCACACCAACTGGGAGGGCACAATTTATCCCACTCAAACCATGGAGGAGGGCACTCCTCATCCCACATGCACCAATGAGCGGCACACTCTTCATCCAACAAACACCAATGAGTGGGGCACTCTTCATTCCATGGACACCAATGAGGGAGGCACTCTTCATCTCACTAACACCAATAGGGGGCACCCCCTCATCCCACTGACAGCAATGAGGAGGCAACTCTTAATCACACTGACACCACTGAGGGGATATTCTGGGGCTACATGTCAGATATTCCTGTACATACTCCTTAAAAAAACCACACCCTTCAGTCAAATGAAGTACACCTACAATATGCTATGCACACCAGTTTCATTATCACCCTATAAAGGTTTGGCCTTGGTGGACATCCCTTTTTGCTGACAGTAGATGCATTAGGACCTTATTGTGAAGAAGTAGCTAAAAATAAAAACTGTACAAGATTGTGGAAATTAAGTTTAGGTTATAGGAGCTCCAGGGCCCCCCGGCTATTATACACTGATCACAGAGGTACTAGATTATGTTTAGTTTACTGCTGCAGGGACTGTTGTGCAGGAGGGAGATTTACACCATTTTTTTATAATAAATGTGAGCTTAACCTATAGATATTTATTACTTTGCTTATTTATTTATCATTTATTTGCAGAACATGCTTGACAAGATGTTTTCAGTAGCCACACTTTTGTTGGTCTATGGAATTCTCTTTGGCCTGCCTCAAAACGGAGGTGCAGAAAACTGGGCCACGTTTCAACGAAAGCATATCAGCAGTAACTCTACTACTGGATTCAACTGTACCAAAGCCATGAGCGATTCTATATTTATTGTAAATGGGCAATGCAAGAGCTTCAATACCTTCATCCATGCAGTCGCTGGAAGAGTCAAGGAGATCTGCAAAGGTGTCAAGGGTCACAAGAATAAAACCAGTCCAAATGCATATGACCTAACTGAGTGCACAAAAGCTACCAGGTGCGAATATAACGGACGTAATCAACGAAGTAAAATATGTGTAACCTGCGAAAATAGTGTGCCTATTCATTTCGTCCGTAGAGGGAACCTGCTAATAAACGTTTGTCATAAGTTTACAAAAGCATATGATGCATTAAAGCAGAAAGAAACAATACAGAGTAATTTTGCTACTAACACTCTCCCCTTAACATATCTCTAAGTGTTTCAGAGGGTCAAATGTATAATCACATGACATTCTGCTCAATAAAGTAGCCTTAAACATCTTTCATATAGTTTTTTTTGTGTTATCTGCCGCTTAAATCCAAGCACACTTATTAAATAGAAAGAAATATATATTCTCTACTCAATGAAGAGTTCTTAAAACCTGCTGTAACCCATGGCAACCAATCAGAATCATTGTACTGCTCTGACTTGAAGTGTTAATAAACCCAGGACCCTGCGTTCATTATATCTGATCTCTTGCAGTACACAGAACATGGAAATGCAATTATTTTGGTAAATATAAACTGCTAAATACCTTTTCTCATAAGCAGTTAGAGCAGTCTTGTGACTTCTATTAGTGTTCAGCAGAGCACTAGTTAAAGCTTGTAGGAGGAGTTTCCTTTCTGCTCTAGGAGGATGCAGAACCCCTGACCTCTGTCTGTACAGTGCTGATTGGCCCTGTGCTGATCACATGCACTTTCCCAAGAACAAAAAAAAATATCTAGCAATACACACCAAACTGAGCATGTGTGGAGTGTCTCCACACGATATGTCTTATCAGGAAATAAGAGGGGGACAGTGGAAGAAGGGGAGGATCAGAGAAGTCAGGATCAAACAGCATTTTTACACAATGCAGAGGATTAACCCCTTAGGTTCCACAGTGAGTATAACAAGCATACTTTACTGCATATACAGACTGATTATACTGTTATGGGTTTAGTAACACTTCAATCACAATTAATTCTGATAGGATACGTGGTTACTCCAGACCTGGCAGCACAGCTTTAGCATTCCTTTCTCTCCCCTGTTGCTCCATTCACTTGCCAGGAGCATAGAAAAAAAACATGCCACTTCCAGATATAGGGAGGCATGTGACTCACACTCCTTCCTCCAATTGACAGCGACAATACTTTGCAAACAGCTTGCTTAGATAACCAGAGATGTCACATGGTGATAGGAAATGCTTCATCCACCCTGTGTAAGCTCCAAATGTCTTCCTCTCTCCACCCACAGGCATACATAATGAGGGGGCAAAGGGAAGGTGAGCATGTGCAGCTGGTGGGGCCACCATTAAGGTAAACTTGTTGCTTTTCCCTGCATGGGCAAATCACAGGTTTACTTTAAGAAAAAGAATAGCACAGGTACAAACGATAACTGCAACGTTAGTCTAATCCCAGTAAACAGTTAACTTTAGTACTTCCTGAGTCAAAGACCTGTAACAAGCATTCAGAACAGGAAAGTCAGAAATCTTGATCTCTACACGTGTTTAAGGTCTGGAACTCAACATACGAAAGCCAAGGGGTCTGCCAGGCATCTCCTTAGAATGTCACACTTCTGGAAGTGTTGAATATCTGTGTTCCTGTGGTTTATTTTCTCTAAACCTGCCTTACTACAGATCCTCTCATATTTAGTTCTCCATTCCACTTTTCTTTGTTCTTCCCCTCCCAATCTCCATGAATCGCTGAAATGGTACCTAGATGATATTCCAGTGCATTCACATTTACATTTCAAAATTCAAAATTCTCTGACCCACATTGTCCTGTCCAACACAATGGGCTCATTTACTAAAACAGGAGAGTGCAAAATCTGGTGTAGCTGTGCATGGTAGCCAATCAGCTTCTAACTTCAGCTTGTTCAAATAAGCTTGAACAAAAAAAATGGAAGATGATTGGTTTCTATGCAAGGCTGCACCAGATTTTGTTCTCTCCAGATTTAGTAAATCAGCCCCTGTAGGTCACCCTCGGGGGTCAGCTGTACCACTCATGGAATTCTTTTGCACTGGATATAAATCCTGTATACAATGATGATGAGCTGGGACACAGTGTTTTATGGCTCCGTACGAATATGTTCCTGCATTGTTATATGGAGTTCATCATTCACTGACTCCTACTGCTAATATTAATTTGTGAAGATGAACCCCCATGGTATCACCAAACCAGTGCTGCCACTCAATGTCCCTAATCCACACCAGTCAGTGTCCCCAATCACCGCCACCCACCCATAGTGTCTCTAATCATCACCACACTACTCACAGTGTCCCTGATCACTGCCACGCCAATCATATTGTCCCTGATCACCGCCACACCAGTAGTGTCCCCAATCATCACCACCCACTCATAGTGTCTCTAATCATCACCACACCACTCACAGTGTCCCTGATCACTGCCACACCAATCATATTGTCCCTGATCACCAGCACAACAGTCATATTGTCCCTGATCACTGCCACACCAATCATATTGTCCCTGATCACTTCCACACCAGTGATTGACACCAGTCAATTTCTTCCTGATCACTGGCACAACAGTCATATTGACCCTGATCACCACCACACCAGTCAAATTCTCCCTAATCTCCATCACACCAGATACAGTGTCCCAGGTCACTTCCACACCAGTTGCACCATGTTGAAAATAATAAATATGTATGCTTGCGAGCTACTATAGTGTATGATATAAATTAAAAAATAAAATAATTACCAGTGTTGTGGTTCACTGACACTTTTTTACACATATCCATATAACTGTGCGATAATAACTAATATATATTTTAAATATGTGTCGCGCTCCACTTTGAATATATAAATAATAATTTTGTGAATAAGAAAATATTGCAATTGGCCCTTCTGATCACATGCAGTTTTCAAGCACTACACTACACTGACCATCCAGAAAGTGTCCACCACACATCTGTCACAGTGTCAAAAACATCTGTCAAAATGATCATCCACATCTGTCAGTGTACCAGTGATCCACATCTGCCAGTGTACCAGTGGTCATCTACATTTTTACCAGTGAACCACATCTGTCACAGTGTACTAGTGGTCATCCATATCTGTACCAGTGATCCACACCTGTCGCAGTGTACTAGTGGTCATCCACATCTGTACTAGTTACCAACATCTGTCACAGTGTACCAGTGGTCATCCACATCTGTACTAGTTACCAACATCTGTCACAGTGTACCAGTGGTAATCCAGATCTGTACCAGTGATCCACATCTGTCACAGTGTACATACACTTCATCCATTTCTGTACCAGGGAAAAACATCTGTCAGTGTACCAGTGTCAAATCCACATCTGTACTAGTGATCAACATCTGTCACAGAGTACCAGTGTCATATACACATCTGTACCAGTGATCAATATCTGTCACAGTGTATCAGTGTCATATTCACATTTGTACCAGTGATCAATTTCTGTCACAGTGTACCAGTGTCAAATCCACATCAGTATCAGTGATCAACATCTGTCACAGTGATCATCCACATCTGTCAGTGTACCAGTGATCCACATCTGCCAGTGTACCAGTGTTCATCTACATTTTTACCAGTGATCAACATCTGTCACAGTGTACCAGTGATCATCCACATCTGTACCAATGATCAACATCTGTCAGTGTAGCAATGCAAAACCCACATCTGTACCAGTGATCCATATCTGTCAGTGTACCAGTGTCAAACCCACATCTGTACCAGTGATCAACATCTGTCACAGAGTACCAGTGCCATATCCACATCTGTACCAGTGATCAAAATTGTCACAGAAAACCAGTGTCAAATCCACATCAGTACCAGTGATTAACATCTGTCACAGTGTACCAGTGTCAAATCCACATCAGTACCAGTGATCAACATCTGTCACAGAGTACCGGTTTCAAATCCACATCAGTATCAGTGATCAACATCTGTCACAGTGTACCAGTATCAAATCCACATCTGTACAAATGATCAATATATGTCACAGTGTACCAGTGTCAAATTCACATCTGTACCAGTGATCCCCATCTGTCACAGTGTACCAGTGTAAAATCCACATCTGAACCAGTGATTAACATCAGTCACACAGTACCAGTGTCAAAATCTACATCAGTACCAGTGATCAATATCTGTCACAGTGTATCAGTGTCAAATCCACATTTGTGCCAGTGATCAACATCTGTCTCAGAATACCAGTGTGAAATCCACATTTGTACCAGTGATCAACATCTGTCACACAGTACCTGTGTCAAATCCACATCAATACCAGTGATCAACATCTGTCACAGTGTACCAGTATCAAATCCACATCTGTACAAATGATCAATATATGTCACAGTGTACCAGTGTCAAATCCACATCTGTACCAGTGATCAACATCTGTCACAGTGTACGAGTATCAAATCTACATCTGTATCTGTGATCAACATCTGTCACAGTGGACAAGTGTCAAATCCACATCTGTCACAGCGTATCAGTGAACATCAAAATCAACATCAGCAGTGCAGTATCAACATGTCTAAAAAATTATACACCAGCAAGGAGGCTTTCCAGATGCTGATTATGATGGACGAGAGTAGTGGGGAACTCTCTCTGTCAGACTCAGATTCTGAGTATGAGCCAGTTGAAAGCAGTGGATCAGCAATGGATTCTGAGGAGGAGAGGGCCCAAAGAGGTTCAGGAGACCTGAGGAGGAGCAGGCATCCACCAGTGGTGAGTATAAGCAGCGAAGAACTCCCAGAAGATAGGCAGGCATACACAAGTAGCGCTGCAAATCCTGGTGCAGTGGCAAGTAAAAGAAGGGTCACATTCCCAGATGATAGGCCAGGCACTAGTAGCGTGGTGTCCCATTCACAACAACGAGGTATGGCCCATACTAGCCTCCCAGACGTACTTTTATATCCCACATGGCTTCCCACTAACTCGGCAGAACCTACAATTTCGCCTTTTACAGCACAGCCAGACCCTCAGATACAAGCAGAAAATGTTACCCCAATTTACTCTTTTCAATTATGTTTTACTGATGATCTGCTAAATTACATTGTTGGTCAATATCACCTGTGTGCCAGGCAATATATTATACAATAATGTGGTGCTGCGCTTACACATGAAACATCACAGAAAGAACATATGAATAAAACTGCATAAAGATGAAATCTACATGAATAAATATATACCGGGAACCCCCCAAAATGTAACATCTAGGGCAGCAATGGGCAAACTACGGCCCGCGGGCCGTA